AAATCTAGGACATATTTCCTTTGGGAAATGAAGATACCCCTTTTTGATCGGGCAACTTCAATTCCAAGGAAGTATCTGGGAGGTCCTAGATCCTTCACTTCAAACTGAGTGGCAAGGAAACCCTTCAACCTCTGGATTTCATCCTTCCAGTCACCAGTAACAATTATGTCATCCAAGTATACTATTAAAGCAGCCATTTTACCTTCTCCTCTTTTCACAAACAATGTGTGATCTGATTGACATTGCTTGTATCCTTTCTGCTGAATCGCAACATGAAATCTGCTGAACCAAGCTCTTGGTGATTGTTTCAGCCCGTATAAAGACTTCTTCAACTTGCACACTTTCTGTTCACAATTCAAGAATGCATTCTTGATGTCAAGTTGATGTAGATCCCAATCCAGATTAGCAGCAAGAGAGAATAGAACTCTAATGGAGTTCATCTTGGCAACAGGGGAAAAAATTTCTGCATAATCAACTCCGTACACTTGAGTAAACCCCTTTGCCACTAAAAGAGCTTTATACCTCTCCACCGTTCCATCAGCCCTATGCATCACAGTGAACACCCATTTACATCCAACTGGATCCTTTCCCTTAGGAAGATCTACAAGTTCCCATGTGCCATTTTTATGAAGGGCATTAATTTCTTCCTTCATGGCATCTGTCCATTCAAGTACTGAAAGAGCTTCTGCCACATTCTTGGGGATAGGGACACTGTCAATAGAGGTAAGAAAAGCACGAAATGATGATGAAATGTTTTCAAACCAAACAAAGTTGGAAATGGGATGCTTAGTGGTGCACAATCTAACACCTTTCCTGTGAGCAATAGGAAGGTCAAGGTCATTAGCAGCAGAGGTATCAATTTCAATAGAATCAGGAACATCATTGGAAGCCAAGTTACCTGAGTGGGTATGATCCTCCCCCGAGGAGTTTGATGGCACTGGAGGTACAGCTTCTAGATTCTCCATAGCTCTTGAATTTGGTTGGCCTTTGCGATGACGAAAGAAGACACGAAAAGGAGAAGGATCAGGAAGAGAAGGGAGCTGAACCAGTTTCTCCTCATGCCTACACTCCCCTTGAGGAGAAATAGGAAAGAATGGCTCATCCTCAAAGAAAGAAATAGCACGAGAATCCAATTTCCCACGGGTGGGAGACAGATTTTGGACAAAGCACCGACAACCGAATACACGAGGAGGAATGGGAAGAAGGGGGGCCTTAGGAAAGAGAAGCTGATGTGGGGCTTTGTACTCTAACCAACGAGAGGGCATACGGTTAATGAGGTAGGTAGAACAAAGAACAACCTCAAGCCAAAAACGTTTGCGGACATTCATATTTTGTAGTAAACCCCGAGCCACTTCAAGGAGATGTCGGTTCTTCCGTTCAGCCACACCATTTTGTTGTGGTGTGCGGGCACAAGAGCTACGGTGAAGTGAACCACGCGAAGCAAAGAACTCCGTGAGATCACTATGAAAAAACTCTTTCGCATTGTATGACTAAAAAATTTGGATTTCAATCTGAAATTGAGTGAAGACCATCCGATGAAAATCTTGGATAACTTTTGGTACTTCCGCCCTGGTGCGCATAGAATAGACCCAAGTATATCTAGAATAATCATCAATGAGGGTAATAAAATACTTGTAACCACTCTCAGATGGTAAAGTAACAGGGCCCCATACATCAGAATGAACAATGTGAAAAGGGAATTCAGATTTACTATTTTTTTGAAGAAAATGAGTTCTACAATGAACAATGTTTACTATTTTTTTGAACAGTAGATAATACCTTCTTGAACATCAAATGATAGCCTCTCTATAAACCAGAACTTTCTCTACGCTAGAAGATGAAAAGTCAGGCAAGCTTCTACTTGCTTAAGGTCGAACAGCAAATGGATACAGCTGGGAGATGAAGAGACTGACTGGTCGACATTGGAAGATGAACAAATCAGATTTGCTCGACATCACCCTTCAGGCCTGGACGACTTGCTCTGATACCATGTTGGACAAGATAAGAGAAAGAGAGGAGAGGCGAGAGGACTGAGAGCCCCAAAAGAATACTTCAAGCGTGTGCAGTATGTTATTATTTATACTAGGATGGCCGTACAACATAACAAATGAAGAAATTACAAAAGTACCCTTGCGGTACTAAACATATGTGTACAACAACATCTGTCAACAGGAAACGGTAACTTTCATTGATGATTTGAAAAGATTACAGATTTACCACCACAAAATTGATGAGATATCAAAACAAAATATTACAAACAAGCCCAAAACAAAGTCTTCCTAGTAGCTCCTTGCTTAGCTAAAGTGTCGGCCATTCCATTTGCTGACCTTCTTACCCATTTAAAATGCACCCCAATCTCCCTTGCTAAGCTAATAATCTYTCTTAGAGGCTGTCTAAGAGACCAAACTCCCAAGTTTCCATATTGCATCCACCCTATTACCAGCTTGGAGTCTCCTTCCACTTCTAATTGTTGCATTCCCCATTGTTTTGCCAGTCTCAATCCTTGAAGTAAGGCCATTACTTCTGCCCTTAAGGAATCTCCTATCCCAATTGGGCCCGAGTAAAGGGCCAAGACTTTTCCTTCCTCATTTCTGAACACCCCCCCAACTCCCAACCGACCTAGATTACCCAAGGAACTTCCATCAAAGTTTAACTTCACACTGAACTGAGGCGGTGGTACCCAACTTCCTTGTACCACAGTGGAGGGAGAGGATACAGCTATAGCACTCCAATTTCTAATTAAGTCAACTGTGGAGATGTCCTTGAAGAGATGTTGTACTTCCAGCCAATGCATAACCTTGATGGTGATAACCTCAACAAGTGTTTCCTTGGATTTTTCTTGCCCTAGGAAGATCCTATTGTTTCTCTCCTCCCAAATTGACCAAAGGATGGTTGCTCTTGTTATTCTCCACGTTATCCTGCCTCTTCTCCTTGGTTGTTGGAAGAAGTTAGAGTCAAAAAGGTTCAGCACACCCAGGGGGGATTCCATCTGCAACCAAACAAAGGAGAGAACCAACCCACAAATAAGAAGCAAAATGACAAGAAATCAAAAGATGAGTCGTTGTCTCACCATTTCTTAAGCAAAGGCAACAAACATGTGCGGAAAGGCACCAATCTCACCTTTTTCTTTTGATTAGCATGATAATGATGATTTCATCTCTTTATTTTAATTAATAAGTATTTTTATAATTTTTAATTAATTAATTAATATCTTGGCTTACTAATAATACTCACATGGGCCATACAACATATTTAGTTATTCATATTGTTTTATGGTGGTCCTACTCTTGTTTCAAGAGTTTCTTGTTTTAAGGCTTGTATCCAAATTTCACCTTTTACAAATATTCTCTTCTAGCAAAAAAAAAATATATCATTTCAATGATAGAACTAAAATTTATCACATGAACTGCTCTGCTTGGTAAAGACTCCACATTTTCTGAAGGTCTAAACTCTATCAACTACTAGGAACTGATCATGGGTAGGTATTAGGTATTGAACATTATATATTTGTTCCACTTCACAATTTGGCAAGCATAAGAATGTGGGATTGAATCTGAGAACAGCCACTTTGTGCCAAAAAAATGTTAGAACCATATCCAGTCTACCCTCCCAAGACCCCAGATAACTGGGACCAACATTGGGTAATGACCTTTTTATTCTCTAGGATAGTTTAAGTGTTTAACATGGAAATTTCAACCATTTCTATTTTTTACGGTTCTTTCTCTTCTCTAGAATTTAAACCATCAAAACAGATTGTTGTAGGCTCTATTAAGGTTCAGGATGAGAACAAAACCCTTAAAATTATCTGATTTGAAATGACTACCAACCCAAAACTGGATTTAAAGTCCATCAAAAGGGGCATAAACATGTTGCAATAGCAAATATGAACCCCAAACCAGTGTTGCATGGATTCTCCTAATGGATGAACTGTCCATGTCAGGCATGCATTGGACACCAACACTCCATGGATTGTAGGGGGACATTTATTTGATGTAAATGAACAGCTATGTACACATTGAATGGCATTTTTCCAACAAAATGCTATTAAATAACAAAGGGCAAGATTTTAAAAGAAAAATTCTATAGGATTATAATGTTAAAATTCAAGAAAATATGAGTATTTTAATGGTCTTATACTTGTCCAGAGACATGTCTGAAAGTCTATGGTTTTTTTATAAGTAATAGATCTTTAAATTTCATTGAAAACAATAATGATAGGCACTGTTACAAGCATCCCAAAGGGAGGCACGAGATGCACTGCAAGACTGTTTTTTCATCTTGCCAAATCAGACTCCCAGACACACATTGGTTTCTGATTCTCATGTCCATGTCCACGTGGACCACGTCCATGCAACACTGCCCAAACCCCTTGAAAACCAGCACACAAGTATTGGAACCAAGTTGGTCCAAAGATAAACAGCTGAATGTACAATAACAACTAGGTTGATTGGAGTGTTATTGCGTCAAAATGTATATGTAAAACAATTATAACTTCTACAATGGGGCCAAATCAGATTTATTTACAGTACTCAACCAGTGAAATTTACAATTATTTTAGAAATTGTTAAACTTAAAAAATGAAGGACAAAAATTGAAAGGTTTAGGTAATTACCCCATCGGATGCAGTAATAATTGAATGAAGATTTGGTATAGAGTCTGCACTTTCAATTTTAACAATCACATGTATGTCTGCACCACAACCTGTAAATACAATAGGGGAGGAACCACAACTAATAAGACTTGTAGTGAAAATAGAAAATACCAAAAGTAATAATAACAATTGATCAGTTTTAAACGCTTAATTTCAAAATAAATTTTCACGCTATATATTTACTTCGCAGAAAGTCCTTCAATTCATGGACCACTTTTGCATCTTTGACAAAGGAAACAGCATAGAAATCTACTTTATTATCCACTCCAAACTTAATATCATCCCAGTCTTTTTCTGCAGTAAATCAAAGCAAACTGTTATCTGCATTTGAACAGCAATAGAAGCTTCAATTGTTTCATTAAAAAGCATCCATTAAGAAGGATGAAACAAAATCAAACGTGAATATTGCGTAAACCTTTGAAAGATATTATGCTCTGAGGTCCTACCAGTGATGGATGGCAGTGTAGCACTTTTCCCCCGAACATTCAGATGCCGCCTTGACTTAAGTTCCCCACCATCAACAACTTCACATTTCACTGAATCTTCCGTTTTGGACTTCACCATTAATGACATCATTCCCCCTAAGGAAGCAACTCAAATCAGTCAGTTGTGCCAAATCATCAAAGACCACTTATAGTCTTAGAAATTTTGGAAGTCAAACATCTAATGGAAGATATCTCTTAAAGCCCCAAGAAATGGATGGAAACATATTTACAATTTTTTTATCATCAGAAAATATATTTGTTTTATTAGATTCAATTAAAGAGGTAGTTAATACAACTTTGATGACAGAAAAGTCATCCCCATTTTTCAAACCCTGATTACATAGAAGCCCAAAACAATTGTCGCCTCATAACCCCTTGTTTGGCAAGGGAATCAGCTAATCCATTTGCACTTCTTCTAACCCACTTAAATTCAGCCTCTATATCCATAACAAGATTTTTCACTTCCCCTATCACATGTTTGAGAATCCATGGAGTACGTCTGTTGCAATTTGCCCATGTGATAACTACTTTTGAATCCCCTTCCACCTCAATCCATCTAAAGCCCAACTGCTTTGCCAACCAGAGACCTTGTAGCAGTGCCCACAATTCACCCTTCAAGGAACTTCCTCAACCAATTGGCCCTAAAAATAAGGCCAAAATCCTCCTTTCATAATTTCTGATTTCCCCTTCTATAGTCCTATTCCAGCCATCCCTAGGTTTCATATTTGAACTCCCATCAAAATTCAACTTGACTTTATTGCTTTCCAAAGTTTCCAGTCCACTCTTGCTCCATCTTTTTCTATAGAAGACTACTATTACATTCCAAGCTCTTTGAATGTCAGTGACTGAGAATAATTGGAAGCTATCCAATGTCTTTACCCATAATGCCACCTTTAACTTTATGCTGTCTATCATTTCCTCCAGAGACCTGTTTTTTTCAGAGATCCTGTTGTTTCCTTCTTCCCAAACCACTCAACAAATTACTGCTTTAGTGGCTCTCCGAGTACCTTCCCTCTTTTCTTTGGTTGCCCCAAAAGGTTGGGATTAAACAGTCCCACCACATCTTGAGGGAGGGCTCACCTACAACCAAAAAGAGAACAAACAAACTCCCAAATTTGATTCACAAAGAGATAGGAGATTAGTAAATGAGATAGGACCTCTCCATTGTTCCTACATAAGAAACACCAATGAGGAGAAAGGCAAGCATAAAGCCTTCTTCTCTATAGCAAGTCACAAGTGTTTACCTTACCAAGGAAAATTTCCCAACAAAAAGCTTGTATTTTAGGTGGGATAGACTTACTCCAAATTTCTTTCACTGGGAAGTCCACCCCTTGAGGGTTAGGCGAAGCAAGGATTTTGAAAAAAGAAGGTAAAGAGACAATCCGGTGATGTTGACCAAACTCTAGAGACCTCAAGAGAAGGATCTAGGAATACTTGCCCAAACAAGTCAAGTAGGTGGACCAAGGAAAGAAATTCATTATCCGTTAAACCTTTTTTAGAGCCCAGGTCCCAATTTAAACCAGTTGGGGAAGAAGTTACCAGCCTAGACATAGTTTTTTTTTTTTTTTTTATCAATAGCCTAGACACAGTTTCTCCCTTAAAAGTAGAGAGAGCAAAGAGGTCTGGAAATTGGTCACTCACCACAAGTCTTCCCTGAACCTTACTTTATCTCCCCTTCCCACATCAAACCTAATGGAATTAAGAAAAGTAGGGTAGACTTCAGGAATAACTTTCCAAAGAGAAGCTGAGAAAGAGTTGGGAGCAATTTTAGCATCCCAACCATTACCATTCAACCCATGAATCATTGACAATTAGACTCATAATCATTATCAAGGTCCATAATTTCAAATTATAGTTTGGATCCTTTAAAATGGGAAATTCTGCAGAATCTATGAAATGGCATAAAGCTTTTTCATCTTGAGTAAAGCATTAGGGAAAACAAAGTTTTATGCTAATCATTGACAAATTGGAACATACAGAACTATTAAATATTCATTAGTGACCATACAAGATGAAGATATTCAAAATAATATCCACACAACTTTGATTTGGTTGAAATATCTTTGTTTCTGCCAAAATAAGTTCAATGGTTGATAAATGTAAATTATCATTGTGGAGGTGACATCACTAGACTCACCAAATGATCAAAACCCACCGAGTAAGCTAAAGCAGTGAAGACCATTTTCTCTCCACCACAAACCCTCACAACATATTACATACCGCATATTAACCATTAGTTGTAAATTGTGTGGTTTAAAAAAAGTCCTATAATTTCCTTTCTATCTTCCATGAAACCTATTATTTAGAGGCTGTAAGGGCAAGTTCTAGGTGAGGATTTATAGAGATGATGGACCGAATGGGCCTGAGTATCTTCTTTCTTATTGGGTCTATTACTTCTTCCTATTTATTAGTTAATGGGCCTTAGTTGTGGGCCTATTTTCTTTGTTTTTCATTGTTATCAATTTAGCCATGGCCCACCCTACCAGGGGCACCCTTGTAATTGTACATTTCATTAGAATCAATTCTAATAAAATATGATTAAGAGACTGGAGAGAGATACAATCAAGCTCTCTTCCTCCTCCCTTTTCTTCTCCATTCTTCCTCTTTCTCCTGAACCTCTTCTTTCTTCTCCTTTTCTTTCTTCTTCTCTAAATTCAGAATTGTTGCTAGTTTAGATTTCATCTTGGTATCAGAGCAGGTCACCACTTCCTGTTTTTCTTTTCTTAGGCACATCCACAGTGTATATGGAGAATTAAGTTGTTGATCGACTAGAAGTTGATGTTGCCTAGTTGGGAGAGTTTTCTAGAGAAGATTACACATTCAGATTGAAGCCCAAGACAGGTTCTTGGAGATTCCCAAAAACCCTAGCTGATTGGAGAAATCAAATTAAGGATTCTAGAGATAGTTTGATGCTTGCACTTGGGGCTTAAAAGAAAGTTTGTTGACCTATTTGGAGATCAACTATTTGGCATGGTCTCAGTATATAAAAAATCCATGTCTGTAATAGAGGAAAATGGGGGTTCATCACTGGGAGTGGCAAAACCTAAGGAGGACGATCCTACTTATGAGAGGTGGATTCAAGAAAACTACACAATTGTAAATTGGTTGGTTAATTCTATGCAACCTCATATCAATAAGCATAACCAATGGGTAGATACTACTAAGGAGGTATGGGATAGTGTTAAGGAGATCTCACAAAAGTTGAACGTAGGTCTTTTAAATTAAAGAATGATGTGAATAATTTAAGACAAGGGGAGAAGCCCTTAGTTGTGCCCTTCTCAATGCTGAAGTCTCTCTAGCAAAAAATTGATTTGACAGAAACAATTGAATGGGGGTGCACAAAGGATGCTGAAACTCAAAAAACTGGTGGACAGGAAGTGGGTCTTTGAGTTCACCGGACTCGACCCTAAATATTATAATAGTGAGAGAGAATGTTTTAGCAAAAGATGAAGTGACCCTTTCTCAAGCTAATGCTATGGTCAATAGTGAGGAAAGTAGAAGACAAGTTCAGATTCTAGAAGTACCAATAAATCATTTTGCTAATGTTGGGATGAAGCAAAAGGTATTACTAAGGAGGTTGTGTGTGACTACAAGAAGCCAAACCACATGAAGGATACCTGTTGGAAGCTACATCTAGAGCTCCAACCGACTAGGTTTAAGAATAACAATGGTAGAAAGAGTGGGAATGGAAAGGATGGTAATGCTAATGAGGCCACCTCCTTCGAGGGTGAAAAGAGGTCGTATGATGAGAAGTCTGTAGGGGAACAACTTGCAGCCATCAGGGCTGAATATAAGAAGTTTGGTTGTATTATCAATCATTTAGAATCTACCTCTTCACCTTTGTGAAGGGATGAGAGATCCATCGTATGGACGCCCAAATCTTGCGAAATAAAGGGGCGAATTTCAAAAGAAAATTTCTCTCCCTTTCAACTGGGAATCGCATTCCCTATTTAGAAAATCATATTTTCAATGATCAATCTTGAACCATAAACTGAAC